ACCGTGGTCTCGTGTCTCCAGTAGTCTAGCTCTTAGCGGCGGCACGGCTCTCGCTAGCTCCGCGTGTGTAAGGCGCACTCACGATCGTAGAGTGTGCTGTGTGCAGCGTGACTCTTCACCTCCTCTCTACCCGAGGGCCGTGGAAAAAGAAAACTAGGAAAGAAATGTCGATGTTGTCTTTTTGGGTCGCCTGGCTAGTTTTGTTTCACTTCTTATTAGTTTGCTAATGTCTAATGAATTATAGAACCTGAGGGTTTGTATACCTGAGCTTGGCCCCTCCCCTTTCGGGTCCTCGGCCGTCGCACCTCGTGCCCCTACCCCTAGGGCCAGTCCCTACCCTAGGGCCGGCACTGGTCGCCAACGTCCCCCTCATCGGATAGTCAACGCCCCAGCTGGTTTGTCTGGAGTCACGTCACGTGTGTCGTCGTCGCATCGTCGTCGTCGTCGTCTGTGCATCACGGTGTGCCATGATCGATCGAGCTGTGTGTGTGGCGTAATGGAATAAATACATGCTGCTCTTGCCTGTTTACGTGTCCTAGCTCCATCTCAGCTGGGACATGCATGCATGTGTGGGAATTGGACAACTCACCACCCCAGATCATATTTCTCTTTCCACATTAACTATAGTTCAGGCATCTAACAGTTTTGTCTTCGTTCTTTCATAGAAAAAATTGTAATTTATTTATTGTGATTTATGCTAATAGATTTGGACCGTTGGATAAAGATATGATGGTTGTTAGCTATCGCTTGAACAAATGCTATATTTGAAGCACCTGAAATATAGCATATCCCATTTCTTTCCCCTCAGCTGGGAACCTCCCGTCAGGAGCGATCTCTCTTCCCTGACGTTTGCGCTAAACCGAGCCAGAAAGTAGCCTCCACCATCAGAAATGCTGCCTGCGCCCCAAAAAACCAAACTTGCGCGCTCCAGTCCTCAACATGGCCCACGCGTAAGTGAGGGGTGGCAAAAAGTAGGGTACTGAGAACGAAAGGCGCCCGCGTGCAAGTAAAAAATTTCGGGACCTTATCCTATCACCTCACCTACTTGACTTCTCCCCATTTTCGAATTTCTTTTATCATTCTCTCTCCTCTCTCTTGGCGGGGCATTGACGGCGAGAACAACACACGGCACAGGTGAGGCCGCCACCGCCCAAGCGTCCTGGGATCCGGTGAGATGAGGTCCTCTCTCTCATGGCTTCTTCCTTCCCTTCCCCTCTCTCTCTCACAGCTTCTCCGTTTCCTTCCCACTTAGGGCTCATTTGAAAACTCAAATCCCTTGGATTCTGACTTTTTCCAGGATGGAAAATCAATGGGAAAATAATTTAAATAATTATTTAGTTCTTTATCGAGGGTTTTCCATCCCTGGGTGTGCCTTCCCTTGCTTCCAAATTAGCCATTAGGGTCATGGCAGGCAGGGTTGCCATTGCTGTCGCATCCCCAAGATCCAACAAGGTGAACTCCTCCCGTGGAGATCCATGGCGTGGTGGCGGCGGCATGGCACTGCACGCAGCCCCTCCTCTCCATGCAGATCAATGACGTGGTGGCATCGCGAGGCCCTAATCCTCACCGCTTAGGTCCGAGGCATGGCGGCGCAAGCAAGAGGTAATGCATACTCACCATGGATGAGAAAGTCAAGGTCCGGCAGATCCACATTAGGAGCCGTGTGCAAGCAAGAGGTACGTACCCGACCACGGATGGGATAACCAGCGTTAGAAGAGATGACAAAGGGGCACACCCACTCCCAAATGACGCGACGCCCACGCCTGTAAGGCTGCTCAAGATCTTGCACGGTTCATTGAGGAAGTGCACTCAAGCGGAAGTCGCTTTAATCGCCATCCCACCAAGGCAAAAAGGTGGCAACGACAAAGCAATCCCTACCACTTAGGAGCCGGGCGGATTGCCGCCGGTCAACAAGCACATATTGACCTCAAGCGGGCGAGGTACTCCTTATGAAGAGGATGGGCATCCTGCCAGCAGGGAACTTGATGCCAAGCCATGTTGCAGCTCTAGACGAGATGTTCCCAAATGACGACCAACAGCAGGGGTGGCGCGAAGAGCGCTCTTCTCGGATGCGGATGGAGGGTCACGCAGCTAGCACTGGAGACGTCTGACTTCGTAGGTGGTAGCGCTGCTCTTAGCTCGATTGTAAACCATTTATGTAATATCAAAGCTTGAAACTGTCTGCTAGGACGGTCTAGCCTACAACTGTATGACCTCCTTGGGCACTCATCAGTAGCGCGTTGTTTGTATAGTTGAACTCTTCTTCTTAATTACAATGATATACAAATCTTTTGCATATTCGAGAAAAAAATCATACAGGAGATTCTTTCCTGCTACACACTCACTTTACCCTGGATGTTTTTTTGTCATAGTGAGAAAGCTGAAAAGATAGAAGAATCTTTACATCCATATGTTGATGCATTCCCAGTGCAAAAATTCAGGCCACATTGCATAGTACTGCATGATGCATATGCTAGCATTGCATTGCATGAGGCAATACAAAACTTTACTTGAGGGAGCACGTACTGCGTTAATTGAATAGTCATGTTAATCTGATCTGAGCTCGTACACGTACTGTGTAATATAATTAGCAGAAGTAACGGTAGTCATTGGCAGGAGATGAAAGCTTTCTTCCCGGCCCACTTTACCCATGCATGACAAGGCTCTGTCATTGCTCAGCAGTTTCACTCACTATCATGCCTTAATGCACGAGTCAGTGTTAGAGTATATATTAGGATATGGTAGATTAAGATCGTATAATATCGGCTTACCTTATATATATATCTAAGGGAGACCTTTTGCACCCTAAGCAATGTACAACTATATAATCCATCCACAAGACTTAGTAATACAGTTGACTATTCCTCCAACAGTCAGGTATGTAGCTGTTCCCTATCATGCATCATCATGCATGTAAGATTTTCTGGCCACTATTGGTTGTCTCTTTGATTACCGATTTGTGTCTTGCATGCTCATTGGAATACGGGACATTCGCCATCTGTATGTCCTCCGGTGTCCGGTCCTAGATGACCGGCCGGCCGGCGACCTCTCTTCCCTCTCCATGGCCTTCCCAGGTCCTTCCACCGTCGTCGCCTCTTCCCTCTCCACGGCCTCGACGTCGTGCAGTGCACAGAACGTCGTCATAAGGATAGTGGCCTCATCCTCATCATCGGCTTTCGCCAGGTGAGCCTGAGCCTTCTTTTTCTTGCGATTTGGGCACTCCCGTGCTCAATGGCCCATCTTCCCGCAACACCGACAGGCGTTGGAGTCGATGTGCTTCTTCTCTGAAGAAGCCCCGTCTCGGTGCTTGCCATTGCCACCGCGACTGGAGGAGGCTGCCTTCCCGGAGTTTCGCCGAGCAGCCCACTCCTCTTCCGTCAGCAGGAGTTTCCCGCTGTCCTTCGTTGCTGTCGCCTGCCCCAGGCGCTCGTCCACCGCCCACAGACGGCCTGCCACATCCTCAATGGTGAGGGTGGACAAGTCCAGCATCGTCTCTATGGAGAGAGCGATCTGGATGTACTTTGCCGGCACGGAGTGGAGGAACTTGGAGACCGCCTACTCTTCGTCGATGGTGACGCCGTGGCTCTTCAGCTTGCTGATGAGCGTCTGCAGGCGGAGGGAAAAGTCCTCCACTGTTTCACCATCCTTGAACTTGAGGTTTGCGAACTCCTGCTTCAGAAGCTAGGCCGTCGCCTTCTTTGCGCGGTCGGAACCGACGCGCATCGCCGCAATGGCCTCCCACGCCTCCTTAGCTGAGCCTTTCGTCCCCAATGGTTCCCTGTACTCCGCCGGTACAGCAGCGAGGATAGCCTCCAACGCTGACATGTCGTCTTCTTCCACGTCGGTGCCCTTGTCAACAGCATTCCAGAGCCGTCGGGCTCTGAGCTTGACCTTCATGGTCACCGACCACTCTCCATAGTTAGTGCGAGTCAGCGTCAGCCAAGTGGTGCCGCTGACCTCCCGCACCGTGCGAACAACTACATCCGGTAGTGGCTGGGCAGCCACGACAGTGCCACTGCCGTCGCCCAACTCCGAACCGTCTGTCATCGCCATCGGTTAGAATGACGACGGCGCTTGTACGGCTTCGATACCACTTATTGGCCCACAGTTAGCCTCCCGACCACCGAGATGGCCTCCAGACCACTCCGTTGGTCTTATAGGATCACCGGCTCACGACAGTGAACCACTTCAGCCGATCTTGCCGAGCACCGGCTCAGGCGAGTGGAGCACTTGACGGTCTCACCGAGCACGCGCTAGTGTTGCTGATCACCCACTAACCGTGCAGACCACGTACCGACGTTGTCTGTACCCACACACTACGGACGAGCTTAGAAGAAGAAGGGAGAACAGAGCAAGCACGCACAATACAAGACAACAGCGTTGGCCGAGGTCCTGTCTGTGTGATGGCAAATTTGAGCTCTCTTTACTGAGTTGCCATACATGTCTATTTATACAACTCTAACTATCTAGTCCATGTGCAGCGCCCATGTTGGCACAGTAACTAGATAACCTGACAGGGCTGACTCTGCGCCGGCCACTGCTTGTTCCTACAGTGCTGCAGGTGAGCCGTGCGGCGCCTGCACCTGCAGCGGCTACTGTATCACAGCAGGGGTTAAAGTCGGCGCCGCCTTCCCTTGCTGTGTTCACACACAGCAGGCGGCTAAGTCGGCGCCGCCTTCCTCTGCCTTGTTCACACAAGGTGGCAGTAGATTAGCTAACAGTAACAACCTAAACTTTAGTTTAACATGATTAATACATTCATTCATGATTCTGCTTAAGCACGGACCAAGAAAAATAAGCACGCACTTTTCACTAGAAAAGGAATGAAGATAAAGTGGAGGGTGACAAGAGTAAGGAATGAATTTGCACGCAACCATATGCAATGAAACTGAAGAGGTCTGGAAGAACCAAACCATTCTAAACATGCTGCAGATAAAAGGAACATGTAGATCATGCAAGTGTTTGCACTTTGTGCTGGAAAACTTAAGGGAACATATGAACTAAATGTTCCTGTATGTGCAAAACTATGACTAGAGTAAGATCATATTTATCTACTACTTTGTCAAAGTAATGAATCATAATACAAAGGGAAGCTTGCCAAGACTCAAATATCTCAAATGTCAAACTAGTGCCAACAAAAACAAAGAAAAATGTTGGTTCGGTTTACCTGATTCCAATGCTGCGCACCAGTCCCATGGAAACAAGTTCTTCCATTGCATGCCATGTTGTTTCCAGTGAGATAGTGGTATCAATGTCTAGCACGCCATCATCACTGAGGGCGCTAGAAGTTGTGCCAACTCCTGTAGAAATACACATTTCTGTAAGGTACCCACTGAATCTTTCTAAATATTATGCAAACTTGCAAAGGGTGAGGAAATTACCTGTATGCCTAGTAGCTACTGGGAAGTGAATAAGATAGAGATCGAGGTAATCTAGCTGCAGCTTCTTCAAACTATCCTTGCAGGCTTCAAGCACATGGCCATGATCTGAGTTCCACAGCTGCAATGAGAACAGATGCCAATCACATGAAGGTTATGGAACGGAGGGCCAAAAAAAAAAAAAACTGCAGTAGAATGGAAACTCAGAAACAACCGCTAATTAAAAGACCACCGCTAATTAAAAGACCGAGTGACATCGTGGTTGAGTCAAAATCAGGTGTTCCAGTTTAAGACAAGACAACTTTAGTTTCATTGAGTGATATGAGGTCAGGGTTCTGATGACACCAGATGCTGGCCGTAACAACATAACAATTCCAGATATGCTAAAATGCAGGGTAACAATTGGAATTAAGTATGACTGACTCATTTTCAGTAGCTGCTGAATGCTAAATACGGTTGGGAAACCAACTGCTGCAATCCTTTAAACTAATTCATGGGGTATAATTTTAATGGTCACATCCATTTGGAAGGGCAGTTTTCCAGAACAGAGAAGGTAGCATTCTGTAATTCAGATAACCTTGGTTGTGACGAACAGATCCTCCCTCTTGACAAGTCCGGTCTGAAACGCCTCTGCCAGTGCATCACCTGACTTCAGCTTCATTTTGGTAGTCAGCTGCAGACCAAGAAACCAAACACACAGACAGTAAATCACCAAGTAGAAAAGGAAAACTCATGTGCCGACACTAGTAGTTGGGACCATATTAGAATACTCCATGATTGACAAAGAAATCTAAGTCACGGACAGCACAGTGCGGTGTCTAAGCATTCCTGTACCATTCGTACTATGAATCAAGTGTTTATCAAGACAAACAGGACAGTGATTGTCTAATTGACACACAGACACTCTTGTGGCACTGAAAGAAACATTCAATAATTCGATTATTACGGTACAACAGACTAGGATTGCAAAACAAATATCACATTCTTACTAATTCACAGCAGAGCACATTGTCCAACGGGCCAGTGCCACTGATAGTACTAGATAGCTAAAGAAATCTATCAGCAAATGTCAGGAAAACACAGCTTTGATTCGTATTCAAATATTCCATGACTGGCAAAGAAATTTGAGTCACGTACATTATAGTGCATTATACGAGTGCCATGGTACAGTACCACAGACCAAGAGTGGCAAAGAAATCTTGCTCATCTAATCAGCAACACAGCACACCGTATAAGTTATAACCACGTCTGAATCATCAATAATGCCAGTCAGTCTCTCAGACAACTATGTACAAATCTGCGAGTATTTGTCAGGACCAAAACGCCCAATGACCGACAGAGTTATCAAATTCATTTAGGTAGTCAGCTGCAGGCCACCATAGACATACCCAACAGTGACCCTCTAATCGACACACAAACACACTCCATTTGGCAGTGAAAAAACACAGTAACTTGGTTGTTACAGTACATCAGACAAAGCTCACGGAAGAAACATTCCCATTCCTGCTCCGTTGATTCATGTCACATATCCCATAATAGTTATCATTATTGGCAAAAGAATCACAGTCATGTAATGTACGACATGAAAGTGTGCTGTCTTAAGCATGGCTGCATCATTCAGACAAGACAAGCATATGAATATAGTGTCTGACTTGTCAAGACAAAAAAAAAAAAAATGCTCTACACACAAACAGCCAAGTGGTATCGAAAAGAACATTCAGTACTTTGGATAGGTACGGTCTAACAGACCAAGATCGCGAAAGAAATCACACTCATCTCATCAGAACAGCAACGTAGGGCACTGTTAAGCACACCTGGATCATTGGCAGCCCCAGACAAGTATTTGCCAGGAAAAGAGCACCCCAGACACTGATGTGGCCCCGAAAGAAACATTCAATAATTTGATTGTTACAGTACAACAGAGCAGGATTGCAAAAGAAATCACACATTCTTACTAATCCACAGCAGAGCGCATTCCAAGCATGCCTGCGCCATTGGCATTGATAGTACCAGATACCTAAAGAAATCTATTAGCAAATGTCAGGACACTACAACTTTGCTTCATATTTGGATATTTCATGACTGCCAAAGAAATTTGAGTCACGTACATTATAGTAGCATGCCAGTACCATTCAGACAAGCACACAAGCCTAGTGTTTGTCTAGACAATGGAAGAGTGATGGAACACAAACACTCACGAGGCATCGAAAGAAACATCCAACAATTGGATCGGTACAGCACAGCAGACCAAGATTGGCAAATAAATCTTGCTCATCTAATCAGCGACACAGCACACTGAAAAACCATGCCAGAATCATCGATAATGTCACTCAGTCTCTCAGACAATGAGACAACTATGTACAAATCTGCTAGTGTTTCAGGACCAAAAGGGCCAATGACTGACAGAACTACCAAACTAATTTAGGCAGGCAATCAGCTGCACGCAATCAACTTGGGTAGAGGCAATAAAAGGAGACTTGAAAGGATGGAATATACCTAAAGACTTAGATAGGAGTGCTTGGAAAACAGCTATTCACGTGCCTGAACCTTGATTGCTTCTGCTGGGTTTCAACTCTAGTCTACCCTAACTTGTTTGGGACTTAAAGGCTTTGTTGTTGTTGTCGTCCTTGAATCAGCTGCAGGCCCCGGTAGACGCACCCAACCCCACAGTGACCGCCTAATCGACACATATAAACACACTCATGTGACAGTGAAAGAAGCACTCAATAATTTGATCGTTACGGTGCAACCGCCTTTGATTCGTGCTTGGATACCCCGTTCTAGTTAGCATTATTGGCAAAGGAATCGCGGTCATGTGATGTAGGAGTACACGAAAAGCTTGGTGTCTTAAGCATGGCCGCATCATTCAGACAGGACAAGCATAGTATCATATACGAGTGTGGTGTTTGACTTGTCAACACCCCCCAGAAAAAAAACAAAAACCAAAAAACGAGCAGCGCTCGACACACAGACACGGACAGTCATGTGGCGTCGAAAGAAACACTCATCAGTGCTTTCGATCGGTACAGTACAGCGGACCAAGATCGCCAAAGAAATCGCACTCATCATCATTCATCAGCAGCGTAGGGCACTGTTAAGCACGCCTGCATCATCGGGAGCCCCAGACAAGGATTTTGCCACTTGCCAGGACAAGAGCGCCCAAGTGACTGAAAGACGCAAACTGCTACGGCGTCGAGCGAAACACGGGGGGGCTCGACCTCGACCTCGACTATTCGTCCGATCCGCGGTCGCGGGGTGGGTGGGCGGTCGGGTTCCGGGGAGTTCGCTTACCGGCGCAGTCCAGGTGGCGGTAGCCGAGGCGGAGCGCGGCGTGGATGAGGCCGCGGACGTCCGGCTTGTCCATCCGCCACACACCCAGCCCCACCGCCGGCATCCGGTGCCCGCTGCTCAGCGCCACCGCCGCGTCCTTCGCCGCCGCCATGGCGCCCTCGGCCCTCCCCCGGCACCTCCCTGCGCTCCCGCGGATGCTGGATTGGCCGGCCGCTTCTTCGCCTCGCTCGTTGGCAGTGGCAAGCAGCGGGACTCTTTTTTTTTCCCTCTCTTTTGGGTTTTTGTGCGTGGTTTCTATTTCTTGTTGACTTTTTAATACTTGGATATTCCCGCGTGACGTGGCGTATTCTGAGCCATTGCAGTGGGCCGGCCCGGGCCGCAGGAGGCTGTGCAGCCTGCAAGATCAATAAGTAGTTTAATTGGGCCGGCGGCAGGACGTTCCGTGAATAACAACATTTCCATACGGTTTTAACATTTCAAGGATGTCGTGTAGTGCCTACGAATCTATGATAGGAGTTTCTTTTACGATTCCTCGAAAAAAAGAAAGTTTTTACGAGGAATATAGGAGTTGGAAGGGATAGAGAATTGGACTTCTTCTGTTTGGGAGTTTTTTTCTTCTAAAGTATCTCTGGTTTCTAGGGAACATTTTTGTACTGTAGTAAGAGTTATTTTTCTCTCTCTATGTGAGAAATGAACTATGAGCCAACCAAGCCAAAGAAGTATTTGTTCTGGCTCCTCTAGAGGAGCCAAAGCTGAAAACCTTGCTAAACATACCCTATTTAATTAGGAGTTATTCCACTCTATGTGCTTTTAGCTTATAAACCCCTCCTAGATGTCCTAGCATCAACAATTTTTGTAGTAGGCAGCTCCATGGATCTCGAGTTCTCTCTAGTTCATTTTGGTGGAGGATGCAAGGGGGTGCTCCATAAATTGGTGCACCTGCTTCATCATAGGGATTTCAAATTAAAGCTGGAAACATAGAGCGAAATTGTCCTAATAGGCCCACATTTGAAATATAGTGTCCAACTTAAAAAAAACTCCCTGCCTTAATTTTGCACTATTTCAGTAACGAAAAGGGGTATATTATCGTTTCAACAAGAAATGTACAAGTTCAACATTTTAAATGTGTTAGCAAAATACTTTGATTGGAGCAGGGGAAGGAAGAACAACACGGAAGTTGGGCTGGACGTGTAATGATTAGACGGGAAATGTTTTTTTGAAAAGCTATTCACATATTCATTAGACACAACTTTGAGGCAAATCGCCTACAACAAGTTCATTTACAAACTTAGAGCTTTGGCTGGTCAACAGTTTAGTATCAAAGGACAACATACACTCCATAAGCAGCCAAAGCATCAGCCACCTTATTACAACACCTGCTACAATTTGAGATTACACATGATGAGAATTCAGATCGCATTATTTGTTGGGCTTGTCGTATGAGGCCTCCAACACCACTTTGATCAATTCCATTTGCTTTAAGAGCAGAGGCTAGCACAGAAGCGTCCATCTCTAAGATGATGCGCGGCACGCCCATTTGTGAAGCAAAAAGCAAACTTTTGTATGCCGCCATTGCCTCAATGTGTAGAGCTGAAGCTACATAGTTAATCTTTCCAGCCGCTGCAGCAAGCAACTCACCATAATTATTCCGCATAACAAAACCCCAACCTCCTTGTCGTCTCTGTTAGTTTCCTTTCAGTATTTTTTTTTGCTTATGTGCAATTGTTAGAACTGAATTCAGAGTCACGTTGGCACTGAATTCTACCTCCGTCTGAAAAAGAATGTAACTATGGATTATGTGTCACGAAAAGTGGTTCATGACTAAGTTTTTAGTGAATAATATTCATAATTATGTCTTTAAATTAATTTAGTATGAAAATATATTTCGTAATTAATCTGATGCTATTTATTTGATATCATAAACATATAATTGGTCAAACTTAAGGTCTTAAAACATGATACTGTGCAAAAATTGCATTTTTTTTAGGGACGGTGGCACATCCAAAATCTGTTGTCTTGGGGCTCTCTTGGCAAGCACACGCGCCCTGCATTTTCTCTCAACCTTTTCTGAGCTTTTGGGAGCCAATGGCGTAGCAGATTCAGTTCAGTTGGATTCAGCTTTTCCAAAACAGTTTTAACTGCCCTAATCCACAACAATCAACAATGCATATGCATGCATGCAGGATCGACGAGCTGCTGTGGACGGCGGCGTGGCTGCACATGGCAACGGCGGCGGCGGCGCCGCCGGCGAACTCGTCGGACGTGTACCTGTCGTACATCTACTCCAATGGGCACAACCTGGGCGCGGAGCAGGACGACTTCACCTTCAGCTGGGACGACAAGCGCGTGGGCACCAAGGTCCTCCTCTCCAAGGCCTTCCTGCAGGGCATCGGCAAGGGCAAGTCCGACGACGCGCTGCGGCTCTACAAGGCGCACGCCGACACCTACGTGTGCTCGCTAGTGCCGGGCGCCGCCGGCTTCCAGTCGTCGCAGTTCACGCCGGGGGGACTCCTGTTCAAGGAAGGCGACAGCAACATGCAGTACGTCACCTCCACGGCGTTCCTCCTCCTCGCGTACGCTAAGTCCCTCGCATCCGCCGGCGGCGTAGTCTCCTGCGGCGGCGGCGTGGTGCCGGCGTCCGCGCTGGTGGCCGTCGCCAAGCGGCAGGTGGACTACATCCTGGGCGCCAACCCGGCGGGGATGTCGTACATGGTCGGGTTCGGGGCGCGGTACCCGCGGCACGTGCACCACCGCGGCGCGTCCATGCCGTCCGTGCGCGATCACCCCGCGCGCATCGCCTGCCACGAGGGGTTCCGGTACCTGCACTCGTCGGACCCCGACGCCAACGTGCTCGTCGGCGCCGTCGTCGGCGGGCCCGACGGCAGCGACGCCTTCACCGACAGCCGCGACAACTTCGCGCAAACTGAGCCCTCCACCTACACCAACGCGCCGCTCGTCGGCGCGCTCGCCTTCTTCGCCGCCGGCCACCACCGCTGAAGCTAAGTAATGCTAGCTAGCTTGGAGCTAGGACGTGAGAATGAGATCGATCGATATGATTATTAGCACCTGCTGCTGCACTGCAAATGAACAAGTGGCATGTGCATGCAGGTTTGGTATTGTGTACCTTGTGTCGTGTTTGTGTGAAGCGTGTAGTGTACATGCATGTACCTGTACTGTATGAAAATCGTGAGTTTTTTTTTAAAACTAAAAAACTACAAAAATATATTTAAAAACAGCACGTGAAACTAAATAGTCCTTTTGGTCACGCCCTAGCAGCCCGAGTCACGCGGAGTCACTACTGGAAACGGGATATTTGTCTAGTGTTAAAAATCGGGCACTCGGCAAAGAATTGCACTCGGCAAAGAGTTCTTTGCCGAGTGTCAGATACTCGGCAAAAAAGGCTCTCGGCAAAGGACTTCTTTGCTGAGTACCAGGCTCTCGGCAAAAGCACGACACTTGGAATAGGCTGCCCCGCGTAACGGTGTTCGGCCACGTCCTTCTTTGCCGAGTGCCTGTTGTTAGGCACTCGGCAAAGAAGTTTTTTTTTTAAAAATATTTCTTTACTGAGTGTCCCAGATCTGGCACTCGGCAAAGTTTTTTTTTGGAAAATACTTTACCGAGTGCCCCCGATCTGGCACTCGGCAAATGTTTTTTTTAAAAAAATTTCTTTGCCTAGTGTCCCAGATCTGACACTCGGCAAAGATTTTTTTTTTGGAAAATACTTTGCCGAGTGCCTCTGACACGGCGCTCGGCAAAGATTTTTTTTTTCGAAATGTCTTTGCCGAGTGCCCCGAAAGGCACTCTCGGCAAGAGGAAATTTTAAAAAAAAAATTCAAAACCTCTTTGCCGAGTGCCTTATTCTGGGCACTCGGCAAAGACCCCCTTTGCCGAGTGCCATGCCCCGGCACTCGACAAAGATTTTTTTTGGCCTCCAAATTTTTTGTGCAGCCCTTTTATGGTACCAGGAAGTCCTAGTTAGAATTTGGGGTTTTTTTGGCTTTTTGATATATTTAGTTACTTTATTTCGTCTACTTGAATTTTTTCGAAAAATATAAATTTGAACTGCACGTGCTACGAATAATAGAATTTAATGATTCAAAAAATGGTAGTCATGTTATTGAGTGTAGTGTGAGGCCGTATCCAGGAATGGACCCGAAATTTCGGACATCTTGTTCACGAAACATGACCGCGAACTTGCGTGCAAAGTGTTTTTAAATTCTATAAAAAGCAAACGAAGTCCGAAAATCATGAAACTTGTTGAGATGTCGTGATATCGTATGTGGAGGCTATGATAAAAATTTGAGAAGGTTTGGTGCACGTGGTCACGTACGATGCTTACAAACCAGGACATCTTCTCATGTGATATCTGATAATCTTGTATGACCTCTACCTTCCTAGATTAGCTATCCAAATAATCTTGTCTCACATGCAATCTTTTCTCCTTTGTGCAGTCGCTATCTGACGGTGGTTCGAATAATCCACCTCATACACCTCCGAATGATGGAACTGGGCCTTCACCACAGTCGCAGCGGCCGAGATGAGTGCACATTGTATTTTATGCATTTGTTGTTCACTTGGTGATGAACTTGTGATACACTTGTGGACTTTGATGGACTTGTGGATTTATTTGGATGGACTTGAGCACTTATTATTATATATGTGATATATATTGTGATGGATGTGATATGTGCGGATGGATGTGTGGATGGATGAGATATATATGTGATAGATGAGATATATATGTGATGGATGAGATATATATATATATGATTGTATGAATTTCTTTGTCATGATGGAATGTAAAAAAAATTAAAATTGCCGTTTTGGGTCACTTTGCCGAGTGTTGCACTCGGCAAAGGACCCCGTTGCCGAGTGCCATGGTCACAACACTCGGCAAAGTTGGAAAAATGGGCCCTCGAAAAACCATTTTTCCAGCTTTGCCGAGTGATGGCACTCCACAAAGAATTTTTTTTTAAAAAAATTCAAACTTTGCCGAGTGCCGGCCATAGGGCACTCGGCAAAGAATCTTTTTTTAAAAAAAAATTCAAACTTTGCCGAGTGCCGGAAATAGGACACTCGGCAAAGATTTTTTTTAAAAAAAATTCAAGCTTTGCCGAGTGCCGGCCGGAGGGCACTCGGCAAAGATTTTTTTTAAAAAAAAATTCAAACTTTGCCGAGTGCCGGAAAGAGGGCACTCGGCAAAGATTTTTTTAAAAAAAATTCAAACTTTGCCGAGCGCCGGCCAGTGGGCACTCGGCAAAAAAAATTTAAAAATAAAAAAATCTTTGCCGAGTGCCTGCAGGGTTGGCACTCGGCAAAGCCACCGTCCACGGATTCGGCGCCGTGACGGTCGCTTTTCTTTGCCGAGTGCCCCCGGGGCTCTCGGCAAAGCCTTTGCCGAGTGCCCGATAAAAGACACTCGGCAAAGAGGTCTTTGCCGATCAAATTTTTGCCGTGCGTTCTTTGCCGAGTGTCGCACTCGGCAAAGACTTTGCCGAGTGCAATTTGGCCTTTGCCGAGTGCCTCAGGCACTCGGCAAAGAACCTGATTCTAGTAGTGAGTGCATGCGTCTTACCTCTTGGCGTGACACACTTGACAAATACATATATAGCTCGCGCCCATCCAACCTCTCCCCTTCTCGATCGATCCCTCCTCCCTTTCTTCTCCTCCAACCCAAATTTGAGCACGAAGTTAGCAATGGTGGTCCTCTTCTTAAGTAATTGTTGGAAAGTGCTCTTGCAAGGTATATGTATTTTATCCATTCCGCCAAACCTTTTCTCTTAAATTTCATGGCGGTCATGGGTGATGTTGTGGCATGAGGAGGCGACATAGCAACAGCCTTATCATGGGATCCAGGTGGATCGTGTGCAATCGTCAGCTAATCAGACCGAGTATGCGTGATGCAAGACAAAGATAGAAGAAGTTTGGTGGAGGCATCTTGATCTGTGGCGACGATGACGAACCGATGATGAAGGTGTGCGGACGGGATGACAAGAAGCAACACAGGAAAGCGTCCCTCAACATAGCGTGCTCGGCCTAGTCACGCGGTCGATGAGGTAGATGCTGGTGTAGTTGATGCCGATGATGGAGCCATGCACACGAGGTTGGCAAGCGATGGATGATTCAACCCTAATTTATGGTTGGGTAAATGAAAAGGGATACAATTAGCAACAGATCATCAAAACCTGGGTACTTCAGAGGATGATGGGACGAAGCCAGCCCATTGGTGGCGGGATCTAGCCACCGGCTACAATGGAGGAGTGGAGGACGGTTGGGCGAGCGAAAGGGGCGGTGGCTGACGGTGTGGACTAGCCAGAGACATCCTTTAACACCACGCGTGGCCTCACGACAGACTCTTGGCGCGGATTAGAAAATCCCGACGGCATAGGAGGGACAGAGACAACATGGGCAGTGGTGAGTCCTGGTGCAGCGCAACAAGCGGGAGTGCCAGGGCGGGGCCAAATCCACCATCTAGGATGTCTGGTAGTGGTAGGCAGGTCGTTGCGGGACGACATCAATTTCTACCTGACCAAAACGACTACAGAAGGTCGCGGCCAACAATGGTGAAGCAGAGGGATGACTTGGGTGGTGGTGGTGGGTGAGAATGGGGGGGGGTGACAGAGCACATGGTTGGGATGTGGCCTCACCCAGTTGATGCCATGGCGATGTGGGGATAGTTTGCGGGTCGATGAGGATGATTTGGTTAGGCCCAGCCGCGAGCATCAACAATGCATGGTTTGGCGACAAAGACTTGAGGAGGAATCTTAAAACATAATTTCTAGGCCTTAAATGATTTTAAATGAAAAAAATAGTCAACTACAAAGTTGTTCAAGTACTATAATTTTTGTTTAGGTCATTTCTTCACCTGAGATCATTTACAAATTTGACTTCAAATTATTTATATTGGCCCTAGGTTAAGAAAACCTCCAGTACAAATCATGTATTGACATTGTCGGTTCTCTTAAGCCTGCTACCTCCGGTACAAATAGGATTTACACTGGCGGTAGGTTTAAGAGAACCGCCAGTGTAAATCTTTGATTATTAGTGTCTCCTTTCATGAAGATAGAACCTTTGATTATTAGTGATGTGTACTTTTGTTCTTTTTGGATTGGACTTCTTTTTTTCTCTTGCGAAATAGGAATACCCAATTACAAAATCCTATCATGGTCACCGTCTTACAGTGAGAAACTATATGGATCACCCATTGTTAGAGAGAATATTGATAGGATGGGCATGCAATATATAATACAAGTCACCAAATGAAAGGTTAAAAATATTTCTCACCCACTAAAACAACGGTTTTCATATTTCTCCCCTATCCCGATAGCGATATATTCTGAACGCTATGGCAAAGTTGAAAAACGCAAATTTCTCATATGAAGTCATATAAAGATAGATTTATATAAAATTTGCAAGCCTCTATGTGTTATTCAGCTTTCTAGGGTTTCTTTTTTTATTTGAACACATTTGTAGATCTCAACATTATTGTAGCACACACTTTGGTATCCAAATGATTTCAAACAAAAAAATGATGGATTATTTAAAGTTGTAGAGATATCTTGAGACGCAATTTTCATCTATGATCTATCATTTGTAGATCAGAACATTGTAGTAGTGATTCGGTATCCGAATGGCTTCAGAAGAAAGAATTAAAAAATAGTATAACTTGTAAAGCTAGAGGTTTTATAGGAATTTTATTTTCGTCGTCCAAGTTCATACGAAGGTTACCGTATTTTAAAACTACTGTATGCACGATCGTCGTTGAATTCAATCGGAGAGAAATACAAAATTTGTCTTTTAAAAAGGAGTCGTACGAGTCACGAAATCTCCTCTGATAATGGGAGAGAAATAAGTACAAAATTTGTCTTTTGTTGTTGGGTAAATACCAAAGTTTAGGTTCTGCATGTCCACGGCCCGCGGGCACAAACTTTTCTTGCCGTAAGGTTCTTCTGGCTTTATTAAAGCCTCTACGCGTACTATACACAACGACGACGTACAAGCTGCTCTCTCTCTCTCTCTCTCTGAGATTGACGATAAGCTACTCGTTCGGTTGACACCAAGTACCCGTCCCGGAAAAAGTGTCATTCTAGCGTTTGGAGTTTGTCCGGGAAAGAATGTCGTTCTAGGTCCCGCAGGCTACCTGGCACCTCCCTCTCACTTTACAGCGCGTTGGGAGTCTGGCACCCTCATCTTTCTCCTCCGCCGTTGGAAGTCTGGCACTCTCCTCGTCTTTCTCCTCCGCCAGCCCCGTTCCCATCTCCACCACCGGCGCCCCTCCAGGCTCCAACTCTTCTTCTCCCGAGCCGGAGATGCCGCCGTGCTCGGAGAGGCCGTCGCGCCGGTGCGGAGGGGCGCTCCCCGAGCGTCCAGATGCGGGGACGGGCGGCTCGGGCGCCGACGAAGAGGCCGGCCGGATGGACGCGTACCGCGCACCGACGAGGAGGCCGGCGGGACGGGCACTGCCCACGTGCCGACGAGGTGGCTGGCGAGATGAGCGCGGCCCGCGCGCCGACGAGGAGGCCGGCGCTCTTTCTCGTCTTCTCCGCTGGCGTGGATCTTCCTCCTCCACCTCTACCGACGCCTTCCTCCTCCTCCGACGCTCCCGGTCTCCTCCGTGCCTTTCGTGCGCGGCAGCGCGGGTCAACATGCGGCCGTGGCTTGTTCGCGGCTGGGATCTGGATCTAGAATGGGCAGGAGCGCCAGATTGCCATGCAGGACCGAGTAGTAATAATTAGAAGATATAGGGGCACCAGCGTCTTTTTTCCGTGTCCTTGATACATGTGCCTAGCTAGCCCTCAAATGACAATCTTTTTGAACGGAGGAAAGATGCGTGGATCGCAGCTCGTACACTGAAATTGTCATGCATCCATACGTCGGGATTTCCCATCGATATGGTCTCCGTTCCACTTATTTCAACTCTGTTCTATAATTTTCAGCTAAATAGGTGTAGCTCCATAAATTTTATTATAGAAGAAAATGTGTGGTTGAGAGAGCTCTAGCTTTTTTTTTTTTGAGTTGCTCTATAATGAATTTGTAAAGCAGAGTTAGTGGAGCTGTCCTAGACCCATGTATATTCAGATTCACGTTATATACGTACAACACACGCACGTCACTTTTAATATACCCTAAGGTGCTTGGGGCCTCATAATCAGAGATCAAGACGGAAGAATGGTTCTAGCTGGGGCTGGCAACGTCAGTCCCCAGTGCATAATGCACTGATGGCTGAGACAATGGCGTGTGTGAAGTTGGTGGAGGCGGCGGAAGTGTAGGGTATTTCACGGATCCAGATAGAGACGGATTCCAGCCAACTGCAGTACTGAGCGAGACTCGGAGCCAAGCGGGATGCTTTTCATGTACATCCACAATTTCCTGCGTGACCGGTTTAGTAGTCACAAAATTTCTAACGTTCCACGATCTTGTAACTCGTCTGCGCACACAAGATTATTGCGAAGCTAGGCTTAATTTAGGATACGGGTTAATCAATGCCATGGCACACAAGATTATTGCGAAGCTAGGCTTAATTTAGGATACGGGTTAATCAATGCCATGGCCTATGATCCTCTCGATATTGTAAAGAACGTGGTTGCTCGCGAATGCGCTGAGCTATCGATGCGTAATACAAGGCCCTAGAGCCAAGCTTGAGATAAAATAAAAAAGAGAGGCGCAGAAGCAGTAGCTCTGATCCACTTGTCATGCATATGCTTCTGTGCTTTATCTTACTAAACCAAATAAAGGTTAATAAAAAGATGGATACTAGCTATACAGCCGGGTAGGCTTTATTACAGCATCTATCGTCCGTGTACTACTATATATATACAGTGACGACAAAGATACTCGCTCGGTTTGCTCCATCCAAGAGACCAAGACAGAGCTCGCCAAGCATGCGCGCATGACAACACCAAAGCGCGTACGTGTACGTGTCACATACACTGAGACTGCCATGCATGCGTCATTCATACATTATTTTAGAACAGTGTTGAACCGTACCATCGATTTCCGATATAGACACATACACGTACGTCACGCCGTGCATGTAAAATGAAAGAGATAGCTAGCAATGTATCCAGGCCATTCAAATCCCGATGAGACCGCCATGGGTGAAATTAAACCGATCGATGCTCCATCGCCCCATTGCCAACCCTGACCACACCTGACCAGCTGCTTCATCATCCGATCCATTATCACGTACTCAAGCGCAGCTAGCTGTACACAAGAGATCATGCAACCAAGTAAAACTATGGGCGGAAGGGGCTTCTTGCCGGCAGCGGCGGCGGTGGGGGCAAGCTGAAGCCGTCGTGGCCGGAGATCGATGGCCGGGAAGAAATTGGTGGAGGCGATGCCCATTTTGTGCTCACTCTACCTTGCACTGTAGCTACTCATTTCTGTTTCTTTTTTAAGTTTCCCACCGTTTAGAAATGACAAACGTATTTTGACGAGGATCGGAAATCATCAAACAAAATAGATTTTGACTCTTAACTCCCTTACAATATATATATATATATATATATATATATATATATATATATATATATATATATATATATATATATATATATATATATATATATATCATCAATTTCATCTTAGCTAGAGAGATACTATGAACACAAATATATTGATGCAAGCACTAAACTTGCATATAATTTGACCAATTGTTGGTCAAACTTTGCAAATCTTAATATTTCCCTGATCAAAATATGCTTATCATTTTTTAATAGAGGGCATAGACCATAAGTTGAATATTTATCCCGAACAGAACTACTCCCTAGGTAAAAGAACTCACTTGTCTTGTACAAAAGTCTATTGAGCAAGAATTGGAGCGTCGGGTGTGCGGTGGTGGCTCAGAGTGAGCTTGTAGGCCCGTGGCGGAGAGCGTTCATGTGTGTGGCGATTGGAGTGACTAGAAGCCAGTGGTAGATGGGGGAAAAAGAGGCGGACAGAGTTGGGTGGAGAAAAAGAGAAGGTTGTGGGACCCACAATGTAGTGATAAGAGTTGTATTAGTGGATGATTTTTGTCTCCGTAGATTCTCTTATATGGTGTGTGTAACGAAAATGGACCCAGATCCATTTACTTTGGATTTTGGTGTTTAATGACCAACACAACCAAATTTGACTAATGAATTTATAAATAATTGTTTTATAGTTCAATAGGGTGCAAGACGTGACTTGGACGAAGGTAACATGATGATCCGACAATTAACACCATAAGCAAGACCCTAGAAGCACATGAGAAGACCCAAGATATCAAGCAAAGTCCAAGCACGAAGATGGGAACCAGGCCGGACGCAAGATTGCGAAGAAACGAGCTCGGCAGAGGAGACCGGACGAGTCCGATCAGTTGCTCGGCAACAGCAGGCGTCAGCAGCAGCGACCGGATGCTGAGCGAGGCAGTGACCGAACGCACATACTTCACTGTTCATCGCCGTGGCAACAACTCAGTGAGAACCGGACGCAACAGCTGTGGACGACCTGACGCGCCAGGCAGTGGCGTCCGATCATGTCTAGAAAGGTTCTAGAGCGGCGCCAGCGGGACTGGACGCGTCCGATCGAGTGAGACCAGACTCGGCCCAGAGTCCGATCAACGCGCGGGCCCTAACGGTCGGTAGGATTGGACGCGTCCAATTAAGACGTGATCAGCGTCCGGTCACTAGCAGAAAGTTGAGTCTCGAGTCCAACGGCTACTTCTCACTTGTGGGGCTATAAATAGACACCCCAACCATCCATCTGCATGGTGGAGAGCTGGGGAAACATACAAGGGTGTTGATACACCATTGTAGTGATCTCCACTTGCATAGTGCTTAGTGATTCATTAGATGATTAGCGTAGGTGCTTTACGAAGTGCTTAGGTTGATTAGACCACCGCTTATGCGCTTGCTTTAGGTTTAGGTCTAGTGTTATTGAGGTTTGCACACCTCTTATTACTTGGTGCTTGCGCTTTCATTGTTGTACATCGGGGGCTTGTAGTCTTACGAGATCACACCAACTGTCTTTAATGGTGTGGCCGCCACCGTGTACCGAAGGGAACAAGGCCCGTGGTGGTTCGGCCGAAAGCTTAATAGTGAAGACGGAGGGGAGCGTTCGAGGAGAGGCTTGCTGGAAGGCACACCGGAGACCCACTTGCGTGTGGAAAAGAACCGGGGCTTTTCACGAGTTACCCCGACCGGGAGCTTGGCCCTTGCGAGAGATTCCTTGTGAGGGGCTCCAACGAGGACTAGGGGGAAGCTTGAGTGCTTCTCGATACCTCGGTAAAAATACCAAGTCGTCGACGAGTTTGCATCTCTACCTCATGTTTACCTTTCGCATTCACATTGCTACCTTGGTTAATTGCTTTACTTTCCTAGCTTAGTTGATAGACTAGTTGATAGGATTGGAACCTCAGTTGCATAACTCTTTTGTGGTAGAGATAGCAACACACCTAGCAAAACCGTAGTTGCACATCTAGATAGATTACTTTCTTGCATAGGTTTTGACTAGGTGGAATTAGGGGCCATAGTTTAGAGTAGTTTTTTAAGTTGCCTAATTCACCCCCCTTTTAGGCGTCATGGTCCCTTACAAGTGGTATCAGGACAGGTTGGCTCAATTTAGACCTTTGGCTTCACCGTCATTGAGCCGACGCTATTTGGAGTGGTTGGGATGGATGCTTCTAGGTCTCCGCATTTTGATGGCCTAACTTCCCCTACTATAAAGTTAGAATGGCTTATCACCTTGAGGCGGTAAATTTGGGTGTTTGGAGAGTCACTCGTGACGGGACGAAACCCATTAAGAATCCCGATAAACCCACAAAGAGTGAAGAAAAAGAAATTTATTTCAATGCTAAAGCTAAAAATTGCTTGTTTAAATCTTTTAGTATGGATGTATTTAACCAAGTGTTCACTTTAAATACGGCACATGAATTTTGGTTAAAATTACAAGAGCTCCATGACGGCACAAGTAATGTCCGTGAGCGAAAACATTGCCTAGCTCAACAAAGTTATGATTCTTTTGAAACGAATGATGATGAGCTTGTTCGTGATATGTATTTACGTTTGAATCTAATTATCAATGAGCTCAACTCTATAGGATTAACAAAGCTAGGTGATGCGGACATCGTGAGGAAGATCATGTCTGTGCTACTACAAAAGAAATAGTCAAGATGATTTAAAATGAAAAAGTTGTCAATTATAAAGTTTCATAACTTTTTGAGATGTACAACTTTTGTTTTTGTAGTTTCTCCATCCGAGGTCATTTGAAAAATTTGAAATTCAAATTAAAGAAATTCAAACGTAATTTTCCTCGACAAAATGAATTAAAATTGTTGACATCGAATTTTGGCTGATTTATCAGAGTAAGGGGCAGTCGGCTGCTGGTATATATCTACTGGAATCACATGCAACGATGAGAATCGAGTATGCATATAGACAGTGACTTTGTCAAGATTTCAATACTCGTGCAAGGCATGCATGGAGTCCAAGAGTTCTAATGCAAAGATTGGCTTCATTGAGTTCACTATCGGAAATAGGTGATTTGCTGAGTGTCAAAATATTTGCCGAGTGCATTCCATCGGGCACTCGGCCGGCCATCTATCATGCTAGCAAAGCATAGACGACATGTACACGTCACCATGCACGTGTACTATGCACACGAAAGACAGGAAAAATGCGTAAGATC